AGGGCTCAGCTCTACATATGAGCTGTGATGGCCACAAGTGTGTGTGTGTGTGTGTGTGTGTGTGTGTGTGTGTGTGTGTGTGTGATGTCAAACATAGCAGGGAACACTTTGCCCAGATGTGTGTTTATAGTACTTCCAGATCTGGCTGCTGCCTCTCGGGGATTGTGGGATTGTAACGACTGAGAATAACAGCAGCTAAATTCAGACTCTCCAGTAGAAACAGCAGAGGAGCCACAGACTGCTGCTTCTAATGAGCCACACACACACACACACAGACACACACACACACACACACATACACACAGACACACACACACACACACACACACAATAATAAAGACCATTAGGAACTAAATTAACTCTGACTGTTTGTTGGTGTCTCAGTGTCTCAGTGTCCCGGTGTCTCGGTGTCTTGGTGTCTTGGTGTCTCGGTGTCCCGGTGTCTCGGTGTCCCGGTGTCCCGGTGTCTCGGTGTCTCGGTGTCTCGGTGTCTGGTTTATCAGAGGAATCAAACCTGTGATGTCACACAGCTGTCCTCTGTCCACTTACATCCACATGTAACCCCATGAAGAATTCAGACAGGTTACGAGATGTATTTTATTATTGTTTTATGTAAATTGTTTTCATTTCTATGCACATTCACTAAAAGAGCTGTGTTGTGACTGTAGTTTCCTTAAGCAGCCACAAGGGGGCGCTTCCTGTTTAGACAGTGCAGGAAATGTAGTGCCGCGTGCATTGCATGCAGGGAGGGAGACGCGATAGTTGAGCTCCGATACTGAGTTTTGCCCTTTCATGGGAAGAGTGTTGTTTTATTTTCGTGCATATCAGTGTTATTGTGTGGTTGAGTTGTGACCGATGTTCCTTGGCGGCTGTGACGGAGGAATTGCCGTGTTTTGTTGTTTTTTTCCACCGAGGACTCCGGTGAGATTTTAGTTGAATGCTACATGCTAGTTGCTAGCCAAGATGTATCTTTCTGTTGTAGTGAAGGCTAATTGTGAAGTTCCAAGTTAGAGAACAAAAACCAATCGGAGATTGACTATAATTATTATCAGATGTTTCAATGAGCGGTAAGCTGAGTTTTAGTTACGAGTGTATTTGTTCCCATGACAACCATACTTTTTATGCGCCATTTCTGGGCGCCATGTTCATGGTTGGTGGATAAAAATTGTCCGTTGAGGGTTATATTATGTACATTGTAGGGATTCTCCTGAATTATTAATGTGAACGTTTCACTTTGAAATGGTTGAACATGATTATATAGATAAGATGGAAGATAACAATTGGTGCAACATGATTTATGTGATACTGCAAACTAACATTAATGATGATTTGAGTTATTTATATCTCATAGTACAATTATTCATTCTTGTGGTCAGAATTACAGGTTGCACTTATTTGAGAGGAAAAAAAGAATTCTGTACAGAAATGAATTTATGATTTTATATTCTGCTATGCAGATTGGTTTTTTTGCTGGATCCGTATTGATTTGGACAGCGTTGATATTGATTGAACAGGGATCGAGGGGAGATACTCCACCCTTCGTCTTCACCTTCCAACCCTGGATCCAGATAAGCACCGAAAGAGTACCACACACACACACACTACCCGGGTAGACAGACTTGGACTTGAATCACAACAGACATTGGACTGACTTAATGGAACTGTGAACTTTGAACTGTGAGAACTTATCTACTTTGAACTCTGAACTTAAGAACAGCTATAAGCTGAAAAGTGGACACCTTATTTTGGTTTGTTATTTTCTTTTATTGTTGAAAGGGATTTGAACAGATTCTTCTTTTGTTGTGTAAATAAATTTGTACTTACCGTCCCTCGCTCCTTGAGTCGAACCAGTAACTAATTAACTAGGTTACATACTACCCTGTTACACACATATCTGCTGGGTGGATTTACAGGTTATTAAAGACAATAATAATAATATTAATAATAATAATAACTGTATTTATAGAGCTCAAAGTGCTTTACAATAAAAAAAAAAATAAATGAAATAGTCAAATAAAATAAAGCGGATTGAAGGACGGTAGATGATAAAATATGTAAATGAAAATAAAAACAAACCAGTAAGAATCGTGAAATATGAGAAAATTCAAGTTTCAGCTGTGGTTTTAAAATGTTCACGGAGCGTCTCTTATGGCTCTGCAGGTTTTCCACAGTTTGAAATTACTCATGTAATAGAGGAAGTAAAGCACCAGTCACACGCTGGTGATGAGTAGCATCAATATTCACAGGTTAGACTGTAGAGACGGAGCCATAACACTCTGCTGCAGCTCTGTCTCCTCAGAGTTTACACTTACTGAATGCTGATTTCTCTTCATTATTAATTCATTTATTTATTTTTGACAGTAAACGTCTCTAAATGTCTCTGTCTCCACATGCAGCTGCTACAGGGATTAACACCTTTATATTTTTCATGTCTGTGTCAGATTCAAATTCAGACTGACAGAAACTACAGTGGACTGAGTCACTTAATGTGATGCTGCTGGTATGATGTCATTATGACATCATCAGTCTGGTTCTGCTGTTTGACACTGAATCTCCAGATCATGTGACGCAGCTGCGAGGCGTGAGACGCAGCAGTGTGTTCGTTCCGTTAAAGTGATAGTTGTGGTTATTGGACGTGGGGTTGTGTGAAGTCGTCATGTTCAGTCAGAGTGTTTCCTGCAGTAGACTCAGTTTAGAGCAGCAGGAGGACCGGTACGCTAGCAGAGTGATGACATCACCGCTGTGGGCGGGGCCAGCAGAAAACACCTGGTTTAGACACTTTTAAAGACGCCCACTGAAACAATCCAACATCTGTTTAAATGAAGCTTCATGTAGAAGATTTTCATCTTTATCTTCCTGTTAAAAGAAAGTGAAGTTCAGCTCTTTCTGATTCTGTCAGCTGACCTGCGGCTGGAGAGTGATACAGTGCACGGTGTAGGTGCTTGTGCGTAGGAACACGGTGGTTCAGCGGTTGAGAAAATGTAGTGCCAAGGGAAAGTGCTGTTGTTTGCCCACAGCAGCTCATCACTCTGCTAGTGTACCGGTGCTCCTGTTGCTCCTGGAAACTGGATCTACTGCAAGAAACACACTGACTGAACATGATGACCTGACACAACCCCACGTCAGATAACCACTCCCTCCAGAAAGTCGTGATGTCACAATAACTAACACAAATTCAACCAATCCCTGTGAATTCTGTGCTCCTTGCATTTCTGTCCAATCACCACAACTTTTCCACAAATTTGATCAAAAAATATCAAAGTTGAACCAATCAGACCAGTCCCTGATCAACACCTTGATGATGTCACCAAACTCACTTCCTTGTTGGTGGTGTTGAAGCATGTTGTGAAGCTGCAGACACGCGTGACATGAACGTGTCACATTCACAACAAACATCACTGTTAAAGACGTGTGAAGACGTTCAGCATGTCTTACAACACTGTGGAGGAGCCACAGGTGTAGAGCTGCTGGAGCCACAGGTGTAGAGCTGCTGGAGCCACAGGTGTAGAGCTGCTGGAGCCACAGGTGTAGAGCTGCTGGAGCCACAGGTGTAGAGCTGCTGGAGCCACAGGTGTAGAGCTGCTGGTGCCACCTGAACAACGCTCCACTACTTTTCACTTTTTTATTTGTCATTTTTATTAGCTATTTTTCAAAAAATAGATCTAAAAACATCTCAAATCATTACAACATGCATCACAACACAAGAAAAGCTGCGGTGAAATCAGGTATTTTAGCCTGAAACAAATCCTGGACGGACTGAATAACCCCAACTATCCCTTTAACATGGCGCTGAAATGAAAACCAAGAGGTTCTGTAGCTGCCGCACACACACCACACATCCAGTGTGTCCCTCAGTAAGTCTGTACAGAGCAGACAGTGAAGGGTTAATACAGTGTGGAGGAATCATTACTGAGCCTCCTGCTGACAGCAGCTCTTCAAAGAGAGAGAAGTACTGACCCGGTAAAGCTGACTGAGACACTTCCAGCAGGAAAGACCTCAACCCCCCCCACACACACGCACACACACACACACACACACATCCTCAACCCCCCCCCCACACACACACACGCACACACACACACACACTGAAGGTGACACTGAGACGACAGTTTAAGGTCAGACGGAGACTGAAGTGATTTTCTGTGTATTTAAACTCAGTTTCTTTGTTTCTGGTCAGAGAAGACAAAATTTTTTTCTCAGTCAGAAGAAAAAAAATCTTGTACTCTTGCAGGAGTGTGTGTGTGTGTGTGTGTGTGTGTGTGTGTGTGTGTGTGTGTGTGTGTGTGTGTGTGTGTGTGTGTGTGTGGATTTAGCAGTGTGTTATTATCAGTGCGCTCGGACACAGTCTGTCTTTTCCCGCCCCATCTCTCCATCCCTTGTGGAAAGTGCCGACTCATCAGAGCGCAGACCGCCGTGGCGCTGCTCCGGCCACAACATGGCTGTTCCGGGATCAGGAGCCCAGAGTGGCACATATTTGTGGCTGCGCGTGTTTTTTCTTCTCCTCTCAGTTTCACAGCCGTATCTGATCTTGCAGATATTACATGGTTTCAGACTCGGGCTGCAGTGTCCTGTGTTTGAGGAGGAGGGTTATGACAGGGTCACGGTGCAGCAGCCCATCATTTGGTCCCGGGCAGTTATTTTCTTCACTGTTTGTTTTGGTGTTGCTACACTCCTCCTCCGAGCCGTACAATTATTTTGTTCCTCCTCAAACCGCCGCTGGTTTTTCACAAACTTGCAATTGACTGTCAGTGTCCAGAGACCACACAGGGATGATGTCAGCCTTCATTTTGGTTGCCCGGTAACTGTGGATACACCCCCCCCCCCCCCCCACTTCCAATCAATCTCAGTGGTCCGATGAGATTGCCAGCCCGTCAGGCCTGGAGGTGAAGGGTCAAGTCGTGTATATGTGGCTCGCCTTTTGTTGCTGTAAACCCCTCCCCCCTGTGGCTAACCTTTCCCTCCATTTCTGTTTCTCTGTTTCAGGAGCGAGTGATGATGGGATGGATGTGAATATGGGCCGGTGGGCAGGCGTGCGAGCCCCTCTCCTCGGCCTGGCCCTGCTGTTGCCGCTGCTGCTCCTCAAGCCCCCGCCCTGCTGCAGCCTGAACATGGCGGGGGCGCCTCAGGATGGACCTCACTTTGGCTTCACTCACGCCGTCTACCACGCCACCGTTTATGAGAACTCAGCGGCACGCACCTACGCCAACAGTAAAGTTAAGATGGGGATCCACCTGGCCCAGCGCTCCTGGGAGATCCGCTACAGGATCACGTCGGGTGACGATGAGGGGCTCTTCAAGGCGGAGGAGTACGTGCTCGGGGATTTCTGCTTCTTACGCATCAGGACTAAAGGTGGAAACGCCGCCATCTTGAACCGAGAGATCCAGGATAATTATGTATTAACAGTGAAAGCTTCAGTCAAGGGGGAAGCCCTCCTTGAGACCTGGACTAAAGTCAGCATCCAGGTGTTGGATATGAATGACCTCCGACCTTTGTTCTCCCCCACCACGTACTCCGTCACCATAGCAGAGAGCACACCTCTCAGGACTAGCATAGCACAAGTTACCGCCACTGATGCAGACATCGGCTCCAATGGGGAGTTTTACTATTTCTTCAAGGAGAAGATGGAGCTGTTTGCTGTCCATCCCACCAGTGGAGTGGTGTCTCTGAGCGGGAAGCTGAATGTCGATGAGCAGAACCGCTACGACCTAGAAATCCTGGCGGTAGACCGTGGCATGAAGCTGTACGGGAATAATGGTGTCAGCAGCACGGCCAAGCTTTTTGTCCATGTAGAGCGTGTGAACGAGCACGCCCCCGTCATGAATGTGGTCACTCACATCCCCTCGTGGCTCGATAAAAACCCTGTGTATGCCATGGTCACTGTGGAGGACTTAGACGAGGGTTTAAACGGAGAGATAGAGTCGGTGGTCATTGTGGGCGGAGACCCCTCGGAGCAATTCTTCGTAGAGAGATCTGAGGAGGGCGAGTTTTCCATCAAGGCCTCTGAGTCAGTGAACTGGGAGACCTTTCCTTACGGCTGTAACCTGACTCTGCAGGCCAAAGACCGGGGAACGCCACAGAAGTTCTCTGCTGTCAAGGTGGTCCACGTCACGGTGAGGCAGCAGCAGACAAGGGAGGCTAAGTTTGTGCGGGAGCTGTATGAAGTGAGTCTGAATGAGATTTCCCCCCCAGGTACGATAGTAGAGGCCGTTAAAATCTCCCCGGAGCCTGACGACGCAGAGTACATCCTGGCACCTTCAGCTGATTCCGTATTTTTCCAAATGAACACGCTGACGGGCGTCATCTCCACCACCCGCTGGTTCACCCAGGTGACCCAGGACGTCTTCAACCTGGAGGTGTTGGAGATAGACAGCGAGCTCAAGGTTAAAGTGCGGGTGACCATCGAGGACGCCAACGACAACACGCCAACCTTTGCTCAGGCCTCCTATGAGTTCTTTGTGAATGAAAGTGTCCCGGTGGGGACCAGCGTGTTGACGGTGTCTGCAGTGGACGAGGATGAAGGAGAGAACGGGTACATCACCTACAGCATCTCCAGCCTGCAGCCACTGCCCTTCAGGATTAACCAGTTCTCTGGGATGATCAGCACCACTAAAGAGCTGGACTTCGAGTCCTCACCCGAGAGCTTCGTGTTTGTCGTCCGAGCGTCTGACTGGGGGTCACCTTACCGACGAGAGAGCGAGGTCAACGTGACCATCCACCTGGAGAATGTGAATGATAACCAGCCGCTGTTTGAGAAGGTGGCGTGTCAGGGGGTGATCTCTAGAGATTTCCCAGTGGACGAGGCGATCACCACCATGTCAGCGATCGATATCGACGAGTTAGAGCTGGTGAAATATAAGATCATTTCAGGGAACGAATGGGGGTACTTTGATCTCAACCCAGATTCAGGTGTCCTTGCACTGCGACATTCCCTCGCCACAGCCAGTCCAAAGAACGGCGTCTTTAGTCTGAAAATAACCGCCACAGATGGCGAGAACTTTTCCGACCCTATGTTCGTGAACATCTCAGTGGTTCATGGGAAGTCTCCTCCCAGAGGTTTCAACTGTAAAGAGACCAGGGTGGCCCAGAAGTTAGCTGAGAAGTTACTTAAGAAGTCCAAAGCCAGCACCAAGCCCAAAATAGAAGAAGGTTTCATCGACCTCTTCTCCGTCAATCGGCAGACGCCCCAGTTCGACAAAGCGTTCCCCACAGACATCGCTGTGAGGGAGGACCTGAAGGTCGGCTCCAGTGTGTTCAAGGTCAACGCCTACGACGGCGACACCGGCTTCAACGGTCAGATCCTGTACTCCATTTCAGATGGAAACACTGACAGTTGTTTCACCATTGACATGGAGAGCGGCCTCATCAGTGTCTTCCTGCCGATGGACCGAGAGAAGAGAGACCGCTACCTCCTCAACCTGACCATCTACGACCTCGGCCTGCCTCAGAAAACCACCTGGCGTCTGCTGACGGTCTACGTTGAAGACGCTAATGATAACGCTCCACAGTTTCTACAGGAAGGAGGCTACAGAATCGTTATACCTGAGAACACCGCCATAGGTACAGATGTGATCCAGGTGGAAGCCACGGACAAAGATCTGGGATCTAATGGGGAAGTAGTGTACTCTGTTCTGACCAGCACCACCCAGTTCAGCATCAACTCCACCAACGGGATTGTGTATGTTGCTGGTCAGCTGGACCGGGAGTTTGTTTCTACCTTCAACCTGAAGATCGAGGCCCGGGACAGAGCAGAGAGAGGGAGCCAGAGGTTTTCTGTGGCCACGTTGAAAATCATCCTGGAGGACGTGAACGACTGCCCCCCGCTCTTTATCCCCAGTGTGTACAAAGCCAGGGCTCTGGAGGATCTCCCTGTTGGAACAGTGGTGGCTTGGTTAGAAACCCAGGATCCAGATCTGGGGTTGGGGGGCCAGGTCAGGTACTCTCTAGCCAACGACTACAATGGATGGTTCGAGGTAGACCGGGCCAGCGGGGCGATCCGGCTCACCAAAGAGCTGGACTACGAGACCCAGCAGTTCTACAACCTTACAGTGAAGGCCAAAGACAAAGGACGGCCTGTCTCTCTCCTCTCCGTCACGTTCGTGGAGGTGGAGGTGGTGGATGTGAACGAGAACCTCTACGCCCCCTACTTCTCCCACTTTGCCCTGACTGGATTAGTTAAAGAGAATGCCCGGATTGGAACTACCCTCCTGCAGGTCACCGCAAACGACGATGACTCTGGCAGAGACGGAGAAATCCAGTACTCCATTCGTGACGGGAGCGGTCTGGGACGGTTCGCCATCGACGAAGATACAGGTGAGTGTTTGTCCTGTCATGTGCTTTTAATCAGTTAAAGAGAGTGGTGGACAGCACGGACCAGTGACAGTGTCACACTGGTCCGATCTATTATGTAATGAACCTTTGTCTTGGGTCTTTGGCTCAAAGATGTTTGACCTGGACTTTAAGGTCTTGTCTTAGTTCTGTTGCTATAGAGGCTTTTTACTGGAGGTCACCAAGACTAGAGGTGGAGTTTAGGAAGTGGAGGACCTGCTGTTTAACAGATGAAGACAGAGACTCCTTTCATTGAAGGCCTATAAGCCAATGATAGGAACTTGTATGTTGTCGTCACTGCACCACATTGTACTCTTTTTTACTATCTCAGTCTGATCCTGCGATATCATTTCACATCCATGGTAACAACTGAACAGCAACAAGAAGAGTTAAAGGGAAAGAATCAGAGACAGATGGTGAATCAACAAATGATTTCTCCTCCGTCAAACAGAAAAGTAAAATTGAACATCTACTGATTTCAGCTCAGTCCTGAATGTTCGATTGTTAGAATTAAAATAAAAAGTGCTCTGAGAATGTGTTATTGTTGCGGCGTTGGATGTGGGCTGACAGCATTTTTGAGATTTTCAAGTGGGCCATGAGTTATAAAAGGTTGGGACACTGCCTTAGAGAAAATACAGTGTGGAGATGGTATAACGTAAAACATTATGTCTCGCTGTCTGATGGAGGCTGAATCATTTTATCTTCAGATCTTTTCACCCAGAAAACCTGATTTCTTATCAACTGGTGTCAAATGAGGATTCATGTATAATAGTGTGAATAAAAGGGCTGGGTGCAGAAATATTCATGACATTAGCAGCACGGCATGTTGTTGTTTTCTGTGCATGGAGGGAGCACAAAGTGGATCATATAGTCATCAGTCTGATATCATACTCCTGTCTGTATGTTGTAACACCTCCACCTGCCTGGGCTCCGTCAGCCGAGCCTCTCTACTGATTTCCTGTGTGAAACAGCATCTGCTCTTTTCCTCTAAAGGTTAATGTTATGTTTTATAAGTCTAATCATTTATTTTGATGATACTGAGGCTGTGGACCTCTGATATACGCTACAGGAAGTCCTTCTGATTCTTCTTCAAATTAAAACATGATGGTTTAAATAAATAAAATGTTTGGATCAGTCATTAGCTGAGCATCGAGGTGATTAGTGAGAGCTGACCTCACAGTGTCCAGGTTATCAGATGGTTCTGCTGAACCAGGATCAGCCCCTCAAGCTGTAACTGGTCTGTAGTTAACAGTGTATTGAAGACAACATAAATGCATTATAGACGTTAGATTTTAGTATATAAAGAACATGAGAGTAAGATGAATATAATCCTCCCCTGTTGAGTGGATGGGCTGTATGCGCGAGCGAGTGAGTGGGTGATAACATGAGAACAGCTCTGTGTAAGTGCAGTCCATTTACCTTCTCCGTTTACACTCAGAACAGGTCGAAACAACACACCTGTATATATAACACAGTCCACTACACTGCAGTTAACTGCAGCTAACTGCTAACAGCTGCTACCTGCTGCTAACTGCACCTAACAGCTGCTACCTGCTGCTAACTGCAGCTAACTGCTAACAGCTGCTACCTGCTGCTAACTGCACCTAACTGCAGCTAACTGCTAACACCTGCTAACAGCTGCTAACTGCTAATAGCTGCTACCTGCTGCTAACTGCACCTAATTGCAGCTAACTGCTAACAGCTGCTGCTAACTGCAGCTAACTGCTAACACCTGCTAACTGCACCTAACTGCAGCTAACTGCTAACAGCTGCTACCTGCTGCTAACTCCAGCTAGCTAACTGCTCCCTACCTGCTGCTAACTGCACCTAACTGCAGCTAAAACTGCAGCTAACAGCTAACAGCTGCTACCTGCTGCTAACTGCAGCTAACTGCTAACAGCTGCTACCTGCTGCTAACTCCAGCTAACTGCCAGCACCTGCTAACAGCTGCTACCTGCTGCTAACTGCACCTAACTGCAGCTAACTGCTAACAGCTGCTACCTGCTGCTAACTGCAGCTAACAGCTGCAAACTGCTGCAGACTGTCGCTAACAGCCTCTACCTGCTGCTAACTGCTGCTAACAGCTGCACACTGCAGCTAGCTGCAGCTCTACAGAGATAGCAGTTGCTGGCAGCTAACTGCAGCTAACAGCTAACAGCTGCTACCTGCTGCTAACTGCACCTAACTGCAGCTAACTGCTAACACCTGCTAACAGCTGCTAACTGCTAATAGCTGCTACCTGCTGCTAACTGCACCTAATTGCAGCTAACTGCTAACAGCTGCTGCTAACTGCAGCTAACTGCTAACACCTGCTAACTGCACCTAACTGCAGCTAACTGCTAACAGCTGCTACCTGCTGCTAACTCCAGCTAACTGCCAGCACCTGCTAACAGCTGCTACCTGCTGCTAACTGCACCTAACTGCAGCTAACTGCTAACAGCTGCTACCTGCTGCTAACTGCAGCTAACAGCTGCAAACTGCTGCAGACTGTCGCTAACAGCCTCTACCTGCTGCTAACTGCACCTAACTGCAGCTAACTGCTAACAGCTGCCTACCTGCTCTAACTGCACCTAACTGCAGCTTACTGTTAACAGCTGCAAACTGCTGCAGACTGTCGCTAACAGCCTCTACCTGCTGCTAACTGCTGCTAACAGCTGCACACTGCAGCTAGCTGCAGCTCTACAGAGATAGCAGTTGCTGCAGCCTGTTGTGGTGAATGGCAGTAGATTGTGTTGGGGTGGTTTCCATGTTGCTGAGTGTCTTTTGTGTAAAACTGTTCCAGAGACTGAAAAGTCAGAGTTCACCCTGACAGACAGAGGAGAGCTCTGTTATTATATTCTAACAGTCACAGCTTCTTCTCTGATTCAACACCTGTGGCTGAGCATAACCAAGAAAACTACAGACACAGCGCTTTTTGTTTTGAAATCTGTTTTTTTAAATGTGTTAGTGTTCTGGTTGTTTTCAATAAATGCTGGTGTTTCCAAAGCCAGTGAGTAATCGTGTTAAATGATCCTGATCTCAATATCACTGAAAAATTATTATTATAATGATTTTTGCGTTGATGGAGCAGCCCTCCTCTCAGTCTTATCTGTGTTGATCTGAGGTGGTGTGACCCCTCCAGCTCTGAGGAGAGCTAAGTGTCAGATCAGAAGCAGTGTGAAGGTCTGACATGATCTGACCCACTTACAGGGACACTGTAAATCCATGTGATGACATGGAGGAGCATGATGTTTCAGAACTGTTGAATTAAAGCCTCTCTCTGTTTGATGTTAAAGTGTGTGTTTACCATGAGTGTGAGTGTAGGAGTTTCTCTCTCTGATGTTTCTCAGCCTGAAATAATGAGGCGGTGGGTGGCTTAATGCAGGAGAGAGGAAGTCGTAGCCTCTTGTTGTTGTTTGTCAGAAGCTGCTGTGAATACAGAGGTCTGTGTCTGCTACACACACACACACACACACACACACACACACACACACACACTGAACCTCCCCACGTCGTCCTGTCCACTCCTCACATCAGGTTTCCTCTTCATCACACTGTCACTTCTCCCTGGGAACGACAGAGTTCTGGGAGAGAGAGAAAGAAAAGAGAGAGAGGAGGAGGTGAAGGAGAATTCATGGCTCCCAGTTCTACAGTGATTAATCTGTAACAGGCGGGGGGGGGGGGGGGGCAGCTTTGTCCCCAAACAAAACCAGCATTGTAGAGAGCAGTGAATGTGCAGCCAGGAGTTAACACAGAGAAAACACACACACACACACACACACACACAGAAACTTCCATTAGTAAATTTAAACATAAAGTACTGACCTGATGATCTCTGTGCTGCGATTAAACAGTGTAGAGTTTACATTATAGAAAGACATTATAGAGCTTACATTATAGAGCTTACATTATAGAAAGACATTATAGAGCTTACATTATAAAGTTTATATTATAGAGCTTACATCATAGAGTTTACATTATAGAGCTTACATCATAGAGTTTACATTATAGAGCTTACATCATAGAGTTTACATTATAGAGCTTACATTATAGAGTTTACATTATAGAAAGACATTATAGAGTTTACATTATAGAAAGACATTATAGAGTTTACATTATAGAGTTTATATTATAGAAAGACATTATAGAGTTTACATTATAATAATAACAATAATAACATATATAATAACATTAAAAGTACAGAAAGACGGGCCGTCGAGCGGCGCAGTGGGTTGAGCAGGCGCCCCATGTGTAGAGGCCACAGTCCTCGCTGCAGTCGGCCCCGGTTCGAATCCACGCATGTCATTCCCCCTCTCTCTACCTCCCCATTTCCTGTCTCTCTCTACTGTGCTATCAATAAAGGCATAAAAAGCCCAAAAAATATACTTAAAAAAAAAAAGTACAAAAAGACATAAAACAGGTGTAAAAACAACAACAGTTGTTCTCACACCGCGTCATAAGCCGAGGAAAAGGTGCGTTTTAAGAAGAAGAGGCCTAACTTGTAAAGGCATCTCGTTCCAGAGTTTGGGAGCCGCAACTGTAAAAGCCCGATCCCCTCTGAGCTTCAGTCTAGTGTTCAGGAACACTAAGAGCAGCTGATCAGCAGACATGAGGGACCACGAAGGCACATAAGGTCGAAGCAGGTCAGAGAGATAGGATGGAGCAAGACCATTGAGCGATTTATAGGCAAACAGAAGGATTTTGAAATTGATCCTGAAGCGCACAGGTAGCCAATGGAGGGAGGTTAGAATGGGGGAAATGTGCTCTCGCTTGTTTGCTCCAATTAAAAGGTGAGCAGCAGCATTTTGAACCAACTGCAAACGTGAAAGGGAGGCCTGGCTAACCCCAACAGAGAGAGCACTGCGGCAGTCCAGACGAGAAGGCGTGTATCACCTTTTCCTGCTTTGACAGAACACACTTGACCTTGGATAACTGCCTCAATTAAAAACAGCTGGATTTTAGTGGATATGTTTATCCAGTTTAAAATCACTGTCTCAGGTTTGTGA